CCGAATTGAAGTTATGAGTTTGACGAATAGTCTTAAAGATTTACATGATTGGGGTAAGTCGGAATGGTTCATCAGTCAGGTGATTCAGAGGAAACTGGCTGGCACTACAGTGCACGAGTTGCACTTAAAATATCGGACGAACCGGTTCACAATACAACAGATCATTGAGGGGTTGGGAGGTCTCGTGTCTCACCTGAGCATAGGTCGGGGGGAGAAATTGCCGACCAAGGTGGAATCGATCAACCCCCCCAGATACTCGAGAGATAAAGCTAAACCACCTCCTACTAGGGTTGGCTCATATTATGCCCAGGACAAGTCCTCCACCCCCAGAGCCAAGGGAGAAGTCACTCAAGCGGCCAGTATGAGACGGTGCGTGTTTTGTGAAGAATAACATGCTAGTTCAGGGTGTTCAAGCTTCACCACCTATAACCAAAGGGTTCAACGACTAAGGGAGTTGAGACTTTGTTTCAAGTGTTGTGGAGAACATTTTGTCAGGGACTGTAACGCCCAACTCAGGGAGTGTCGGGGCTCCTGGAAGGGTAAGCACCACATTGCACTGTATCCCAATGACGCCAGATTAGCACAAGTTAAGGAGAGCAAACCGCGAGAAAGGGCGGAGAACAAGAACAAGTCTGAAGTAGTGATGAGTGTGGCGAGTATGGCACCGAGAATTTGTTCTGGTGAGCAGTTTCAAGGTTCGGTGGCCTTGCCCACCATAATGGTGGTGGTTGCGAACGGGAAGAAGTCTGAAACGACCCGTTTGTTCTTCGACAGTGGGGCACAGAGATCCTTCATAGCGGAGAGTCTAGTAACTAGGTTGAAGCTGGAGACAGTTGGTAAAGTTGACATGAAGGTGGAAGGGTTTGGTGGGGAAGTCCCACGCAGGTCTTATCCAGTAGTCAATGTGACGGTCAAGTTAGCCGGGCATCGAAGGGAAATTTCAGCCTTGATAGTGAAGAGGCTGCCCAATATCATTACCACTAAGGGAATAGCTGCAGCAGTCAAACGTTTGAGAGAGTTGGGTGTGAAGCTAGCGGAACCAGACATTGCTACCGACAACGTTAGTAATGTAGGAATCTTGGTAGGAGGGGATTACATAGACGAGTTCGTGTCTACAAGAAGGGTTATCAAGGAGGGTGTTGGCCTGTACAGGACTCTAGCTGTGTACATCGTAGGAGGCAGAGTACCAGCTCACTTCCCTGCGACCCCGGGAAAGGAGGGCTCTGGTATTACAGCGACTGAGGCTGTACTGGTGATGCGGATTGGTGTGCACGAAGGTCTGTCAGAGACGCAAGTTGGCATATCCGACAGTGAGCCGGTCCATAAACTATGGGACCTGGATGTAGTAGGGATTAAAGGTGACCAGCCGCCCCCCGAACATGAAGAGACGTATCGAGATTACTTGAACCATGTGCAGTTCAGGGACGGACAGTACTGGGTGCGACTCCCATGGAAACCGGGACACCCAACGCTGCCCACTAATTTCAAGAAGGCACGAGGTCAGTTGAATTCATTGGTGAACAGCCTGACCAAGAAGGGTCTGGTGGGGAAATATGATGATATTATTTAGGAACAGCTAGCCCTTGGGTTCATTGAGAAAGTGCCCAATGCCAGCCCTTGGGAAAACGCTTTTACAGGGTACATAAAGAGGGAGATAGATTGCCTTTAAATCCAGGGAACCTCGTAACAGTGGGAGGAAAGGCTACCAAGGCATGTGGGCCACTGGGTGGGAAAGTATGGAGCCGCTCAGTCAAGGCTAGACATATGAAAGACATTAAAGTTAAAGCAAAGGGTGCTAAGACCACCGGAACCAACAAGTTTACACCCCCAGAGGTCCACACAGGGGAAACTGGACGGTTGAAGTTAGACCGGAGTCTGCTCGACGAGAGTGGCCAGACGGCACTCGTGTTCAGGGTCTGCTGTGGGGGCTCGCGGAAGGTGAACTTGATTTAGACCTAGCGCCTACCTTCGCCGGTGAGAGGATGTGGAAATTTATTTGGTCCCTAAAGTTCCACAGGAGCGATCCGACATGGCCGTAATGGAGCAGCTGAGCTGGGTGGCCCTTAAACTCACCCAAACAAAAGGCATTCTCCCCAACCATAAACACATTTCTCTCCCTGGGGGGTGGCGTGGATGGTAGGCATTTATTTAATTTATAGATTTACTCATCAGGGAAGGAGTAGGTAGTTTTACTGTTAGTATATTAATATTAGGTTTACTAAGGCAACTGTAGATAATAATAATGTAGACCTAAGACCTTAACATAGGTAGTAATAGGCCGATAATGTAGGCAAACACTAGGATAAGTTAGCTAGGGAGAACTGGCAGCCCTAGTTTGAACGAAGAGACGAGGGTCTGGAAGAGAGACCAGCTCGTTCTTCTTAAGACAGACATCAACTGGACAAGACGTGCCGTGATCAGCAGACGGCGCCCCCCACGTGTCTTCACAATTGAGACCTGGGGAAATCTGGTAGAGGCACCTCGATGTACCATAGATGACCTCCTCTGTCAGGCCCATACAGTAAGACAAGACCTCCACTTTATCTCGTAGATTTCTGGCCAGTGTCTGGGGAGATTGTGAGTGAGTATGATCTGTGGGCCCGGTGTGCAACAGGCAGTACATGCCCAGTAAGTACCAGTGTCTCAAGGCAGTCTGGAAGCTAGTGTCCGTGTCTGCATAGTTATACTAGGGGATACATACCCTCTTGGATATAGGAATTTCTGAGGTGCAGGTAGGACACTAATAACGACTGAATATTGCAGGAATTAAGGCTCCAGGTTGCACGTGGTTTCTGAGGGGAAGTCCAAAGGGGCTATGGCTAAGCTTAGGGAAGTTGAAGATCAGGATATATGTAAGTTAGTCCTTTATACGTGCATGCAGGCGAGTTTTCTTGCAACATCAATCATTTGTGAAAATCTGTCCTATAAGCCACTTGTGAGGCTGAGGTGCCCACCTCAGAGCTCGGTGTCAACAGAGCTTGCCAGGGTAGGCGACTCACTTGGAGGCAGTCCACACAAATTTTCACACAGTTACTCACCACACCCAACTGTCAGTTACTCACTACGCTTACCTGTCACTTACTCACCACACTCACCTGTGAGTTACTCACCACACTCACCTATCAGTTGCTCACCACACTCACCTGTCAGTTACTCAGCACACTCACCTGTCAGTTACTCACTACACTTACCTGTCAGTTACTCACCAAACTCATCTGTCAGTTACTCACCACACCCAACTGTCAGTTACTCACCACACTCACCTGTCAGTTACTCACCACACTCACCTGTGAGTTACTCACCACACTCACCTATCAGTTGCTCACCACACTCACCTGTCAGTTACTCAGCACACTCACCTGTCAGTTACTCACCACACTTACCTGTCAGTTACTCACCAAACTCATCTGTCAGTTACTCACCACACCCAACTGTCAGTTACTCACCACACTCACCTGTCAGTTACTCGCCACACTCACCTGTCAGTTACTCACCACACTAGTAATTCCCTGACACAGTTCATCAAAATTATTTCTCAAAGTCACGAGTCATCCGTCTCAATGTTCACAGCCACTCATCATCCCACTCATCACTGTCCCTCACCTTGAACCTGCCATCCCACTCATCACTGTCCCTCACAATGAACCTGCCATCCCACTCATCACTGTCTCTCACCATCAACCTGCCATCCCACTCATCACTGTCCCTCACCATCAACCTGCCATCCCACTCATCATTGTCCCTCACCATCAACCTGGCATCCCACTCATCACTGTCCCTCACCATCAACCTGCCATCCCACTCATCACTGTCCCTCACCATCAACCTGCCATCCCACTCATCACTGTCTCTCACCATCAACCTGCCATCCCACTCATCACTGTGCCTCACCATCATCCTGCCATCCCACTCATCACTGTCCCACACCATCATCCTGCCATCCCACTCATCACTGTCCCTCACCATCAATCTGCCATCCCACTCATCACTGTCCCTCACCATCAACCTGGCATCCCACTCATCACTGTCTCTCACCATGAACCTGCCATCCCACTCATCACTGTCTCTCATCGGCAACCTGCCATCCCACTCATCACTGTCTGTCACCATCAACCTGCCATCCCACTCATCACTGTCTCTCACCATCAACCTGCCATTACACTCATCACTGTCCCTCACCATCAACCTGCCATCCCACTCATCGCTGTCTCTCACCATCAACCTGCCATCCCACTCATCACTGTCCTTCACCATCAACCTGCCATCCCACTCATCACTGTCCTTCACCATCAACCTGCCATCCCACTTATCACTGTCTCTCACCATCAACCTGCCATCCCACTCATCACTGTCTCTCACCATCAACCAGCCATCCCACTCATCACTGTCCCTCACCATTATCCTGCCATCCCACTCATCACTGTCCCTCACCATCAACCTGCCATCCCACTCATCACTGTCCCTCACCATCAACCTGGCATCCCACTCATCACTGTCTCTCACCATCAACCTGCCATCCCACTCATCACTGTCTCTCACTGTCAACCTGCCTTCCCACTCATCACTGTCTCTCACCATCAACCTGCCATCCCACTCATCACTGTCTCTCACCATCAACCTGCCATTCCACTCATCACTGTCCCTCACCATCAACCTGCCATCCCACTCATCACTGTCTCTCACCATCAACCTGCCATCCCACTTATCACTGTCCCTCACCATCAACCTGCCATCCCACTTATCACTGTCTCTCACCATTAACCTGCCATCCCACTCATCACTGTCTTTTACCATCAACCTGCCATCCCACTCATCACTGTCTGTCACCATCAACCTGCCATCCCACTCATCACTGTCCCTCACCATCAACCTGCCATCCCACTCATCACTGTCCCTCACCATCATCCTGCCATCCCACTCATCACTGTCTCTCACCATCAACCTGCCATTGGAAGACATGATAAAAAAACTGGAATATATTAACAAGAAAGCTGCCTCTGTCAGTTTCGCATTGTTTATTCTACATTTTGTGGGGAGACGTGGAGCTGCTGCTGCTGCTGGTGCTGCTGCTGCTGCTGGTGCTGCTGTTGCTGCTGGTGCTGCTGGTGGTGCTGCTGGTGCTGCTGCTGCTGCTGGTGCTGCTGCTGCTGCTGCTGCTACTGCTGCTGCTGCTGCTGCCAGCTTAAATTGACTTTGCAAAGCCAATGCGCTTTTCTTCGACGTTAAATTCGGTGTAGTAGCGGGAGATGAATGTGTCTCCCAGGATCCAGGCTTCTATGCTTCCCAAGTCGACGCCCATGATGCCTACTATGCAAGTTTTGACGCCTGTCGCCTCATCCACGCTCTGTGCGTCGACAAGAAGGAGAGAGTTTAGTTTAATATTTATATTATGTACCCCATACCCATCCTGTGGGTGGTAGTCACCCCATACCCATCTTGTGGGTGGTAATTACCCCATACCCATCTTGTGGGTGGTAGTCACCCCATACCCATCTTGTGGGTTTTAGTTACCCCATACCCATCTTGTGTGTGGTAGTCACCCCATACCCATCCTGTGGGTGGTAGTCACCCCATACCCATCTTGTGGGTTGTAGTTACCCCATACCCATCTTGTGTGTGGTAGTCACCCCATACCCATCCTGTGGGTGGTAGTCACCCCATACCCATCTTGTGGGTTGTAGTTACCCCATACCCATCTTGTGTGTGGTAGTCACCCCATACCCATCCTGTGGGTGGTAGTCACCCCATACCCATCTTGTGGGTTGTAGTTACCCCATACCCATCTTGTGTGTGGTAGTCACCCCATACCCATCCTGTGGGTGGTAGTCACCCCATACCCATCTTGTGGGTTGTAGTTACCCCATACCCATCTTGTGTGTGGTAGTCACCCCATACCCATCCTGTGGGTGGTAGTCACCCCATACCCATGTTGTGGGTTGTAGTTACCCCATACCCATCTTGTGTGTGGTAGTCACCCCATACCCATCCTGTGGGTGGTAGTCACCCCATACCCATCTTGCGGGTGGTGGTCAAAAGATTACAGAGGTACATAATGGGCCCAAGGACTGGATCACAGCTGAACAAGTTACAAAGGTTATGAACCATTTACACGTCTACATCTTGTCACAGTCATGAACAAGTTACAAAGGTAATGAACCATTTACACGTCTACACCTGGTCACAAGTGTAATGAGTTACTGGAGAGAGATGTGAGTTTAAAGCGAGATGGACTGGCTTCTCTGTACTGAGAGTTGTTATCACTCATTGTGGTTTACGTCTGGCCACTTTCTTGGTCTTGATATTTATTATATAATTCGTCGTTTATAAATAACGAAAGGTAAAAAGAGTATTTCTTAACCACGGAAGATACTGATACCCCTCGTTATCTGTTTTCTGTCACCATCCATACTGATTTAAACTTCCGAGTCTCTTTGTCTTCAGTAACTTTCGCAGCTTCTTTAATTCTTGTGTCTTCATCTCACCCATTATGACTTAATGCATTTCTTGCCCCTTGATCTAATGATAACCCTTCGGTTATCTCCCTTCCGCCCGATCCTGTGACTCACCTCGATGACCAGCTCGGATCCGGTCAGTTCGAAGTCGATGCCATTGAGTGTGAAGGTGAAGACTGGCATCTCGTCAACCTTATTGCAGTTGATAAGGTACTCACCAGCAAGGAAGGCGTAACCACCTAGCTCGGTCACAATCTCCTGTAGGAGGAATCGTAGGAGTGAGAAGGGAACGTACTATGGAGGTGAAGGATGGTACTGATGAGGTGGCGTGAAGGACATCTGAGGGAGGGTGGTACAGAGGTGTAGTAGGACCTACATTTTTGGGGCCCTGAAGCTTGAACTGATAATGGGGTCTTATCGCAACCAGCAGGCCCCATAACTATTATTTTGTGTTGAATTACACTATATTATTAATATTATTATTTAAAAAAAAAACTTCTCATACAGTAGACCCAAAAATTTTAAGAAATGTGGACTAAAGTGGCTTCTGGGGCCCCTCCGGGATTAGAGACCCTGAAGCTTATAAGCTCTATTAGTTTCATAGCAGATCCGCCCCTGGGGGTAGTAAAGGCCAAGTGCAGGAGGGTAGCAGTGGTGAAAAAGTGAGGGGGGAGGGGAAGGTTGGTGGTGAGTTTGAACTAGAGAGTGGCTAGGGGTCATGATAGTTAGATGCTTTGTCCAGCTAGAGGCTGGGTTGCCGCCCCATCCACAATAATACTTCACGCTTATATGGACCCCATCCACACTAATACTTCACGCTTATATGGGCCCCATCCACACTAATACTTCACGCTTATATGGACCCCATCCACAATAATACTTCACGCTTATATGGACCCCATCCACAATAATACTTCACGCTTATATGGACCCCATCCACACTAATACTTCACGCTTATATGGACCCTCGCAAATGTACTGACAACAGGCGTTAAAGAATATGTTTCTCGAGGCAGGGAAACTCAATAAAGACTTGCAGTATATATCAACATTAATAAACTATGTTACTGAGAAGATTTATGAAGCTGATAAAGTATAGTAATGAATTATGGTGTGGTACATTTGTCTTCAGTTAATGCCATCCTGAAGGTTCAGTAACCTTCACTTCCTTATTGATAATTATGATCTATTCCACATGGCGTTGTAAAGGTAAATTTATTTTTGTCACTACGTATATCAAAGTTTAACAAAGGTCAAGAAGTCAACTCACGTGGACCTGGTCACTGGGTCCAACAATAAGGGAGGTACCAGTGTCGACAATACCTTCACAAGGGTTGCAGAAGCTCTTGGCTTCACCTCCCAACTTGATTCTGACAGTAAGATCAAATAAGGTGAACCACAGCTCAACGATAAGTCATCATGATTTAGTAAAGCAAATCTGAAGAGTTTTAATTATTTATTGAATCATAAGATGCATGTTAACACTATATAGCTTAAGATTTACCAAGACCAGCAGAATAACGTTGCATGGTTAGTTAGTGATGGTGATGATGTGTTGATAGCGAGTGATGATAATGATTCTGGTAGTAGTGGGGGAGGTGATGAGAATGGCGGTCTAACCACTACTCTAACACCGACACTTACTCATCAATGGTGATCTGCCAATAGCCCACTCTGGAGACTGGCACGTACTGGAACTCTCCTTCGTAGTGGTTGGGGTCAGACCCTCCCAGCACCAGCTCTCCTCCCAGCGTGGAGCTCATGTCACTGACGAGACACATTAGTTAGACAGCGAACAATGATGTGACTGACTGCTTTGTCGACAAAATGTGGCACATATTTCTCATCAGAGCTACTTAATTAATAACTGACACAGGCTTACCAGATATTTTTTCTATCCATTCAAATTACCTGGAGTATATCTGGAGAGAGAGTTCCGCGGTGATTGTATCACAATATATATATATATATATATATATATATATATATATATATAATATATATATATATATATATCTATATATATATATATATATATATATATAATATATTATAAATATATATAATATATATATATATTACATAATAATGGTACAAAAGATTTTTAAAAGATACATTGTTGATATAAAGGTGGCATATACGGTACATGTTGTTACGCGTGTATCACCGATTATAAGGCGAAAATCTCATCCAGCTCCTCAGAGCTGGGGCGTGTGCCCAAAATACAGCAGGCATTACCCCTTTGAACAGCCGCACTGAGCCGCTGGAACAGAAAACTAGCTGCCCTGGGATCCCTAGTTACCCTGATGAGTCTATTTAGATGCATTCTTTCCCCATGAGCCAAGGGTCTCTGAGCCTGTGGGAACAAACATATAATGATGGGCAAGTTCTCCATATTTTCTAGACTTTTGGGACTCCCTAAAGCTGGCAGCTGCCCCTCCTTCCTCCCTGGTGTATTGGAGATAAGTATCAGCCAAGGTAGATGCACATGTATAGTCCCACACCACCTGCTTCTCATCTGTCCAGGCTTGAAGGGTGAAACCATCTGGACGCTTCTGGCTGCCATCAGATCTGCATAGATGGGGTGGCTCCCTTACTGCTGGGCATCCAGCTGTTGTGAGGCTCCTCTTGATAATGTTATTAACCTCTTCATGTCTTGCAATCTTTCCCTCGGATTTACGGCACACAAGACCATGGTACCCGAATCGGTCTGCTGCTTCACTGCCACAAATACACCTGTGTTCGGCGAGAATAGGGGCGGCAAGTCGAAGGGCAACACCGATGCGGGCTCTATCCTTCCCTGACACACTCTGAAGCATTGTTGAGGCTATATTTTCCACTATTGGACCATCCCAGTGCGATTGTTTGTAGTTGTTGGGGGGAGCAGGTTTGGTTTCAGAGCCCGATAGATTGTCCCAGATCATGGCTCCGTCAATGAACTTTTGGTCCTGGACTCCAATCTTGTCCCTAAGATGTTCAGGGAGAATCGTTGCTACAAGTCCTCTGGATGCAATACATGAGGACAGAAAAGCAGGTAGCGCAGTCTGTGATGACTTGCGGACACCAATGTCTCCAAGTCTGACTGGAAGTGTAGCTTGGTTCCACTGCCCGTCTTCTAGAGTAAGATTAAGCACTTTCGTAAAAATCTGCCTCAGGATACTGTCATATTCGTGCAGTATAGGGTTATCATATGAAGGTGCACATCTTAGGAAATATGTCAACCTGGGCAGACTCAAGCACTTTGTGAGAAGGTACAAGGCATCGTGGGTGTCCAGATTGCCTATTCGTTGTTCCATTTACCTCAACTCTTCCAATGTCATCCTGAGAATTGTGTCAATGGCTTTGCTTCCCAGAGGTGCTCCTAGCAAGGCACTATTTGTGGGGGCAATGACTGCTGCCCCTGGTAGTTTTGATCTCACTGCATTCATCACTTGTTGATTGACTGAGATGATTTCATATTTGGATGGATTCAGGATGAGACCCATTTTCTGTCCCCGTGTCATTACCCGTGTAAGATCATGTAGGAGGGACTCCTTTGTACCTGCTAGTGTGCCATCATCTAGGAACCAGAAGTTTAGCTCGCTGGTCAGTCTGACTGTGATTTCCCTAACTGCTATACAGAGGAGAAATGGTGCAAGAGGATCTCCTTGGACACCCCCTGATGATGTGATTTCATGCTCTCCAAAGAGAAACATTGATTCCTTGTTATACCCAGCTGCAACAAAAGGGAAGAGACCAGGAAAATGTTCTTGTACTGCTGCTAATACCACGTCTCTTTTCAGGAGATTGAATGCATACTTGAAATCTAATTTTACGACTGCTTTGTCTTCAGGCAGGTTGTTGATATACGCCCTTGTTGAATGAACCGCTGCATCACTTCCTTGAGAGACCCCAAAGTCAAGCTGGTTTGGTTGAAGCATCATGGCTGCCTGTGCACGAATACTTTGGACAGCAGCTTTGGATACGAGGCGGCGTAACGCGTTGCCTACTGCAATTGGCCGAATTCCTCCATCCTTTGCATATATATATATATATATATATATATATATATATATATAATATATATATATATATATATATATATATATATATATATGCAAAATAACCACTGTGAAAGAAAAGAGAAATTCCAAGCGTTTCGTGACTACTCACATTATCAAGGAACAATGAAAGTAATGCATCAAAGGAAGGCATATAAAGGGTCTAGACCACACCTAACTATCACATCCAACAACAAAGCAACACCTGACGCGCGACTCATAAGAAAGAGAACACTGCAGCAGGCCCGCTGGCCCAACTAGACAGGTCCTTCACACAACCCACCAACAAACAATTCTACCCAAGAATTAAGAATTTTAAAATTTATTATTTCTCCAATGTATTATTAAATTCTTCCCAAATTCTATTAATTATAAATGTATCTAATTTATATAAACCAAAGGAAATGTTCATATTATTGTCAAAACTGCTTTTTATGAAACAAGATTTAATTATATTCCTGTCGACCATGGACTTGCTTGATACTACTTTCTCAACTTTTTGAAAATCAATTGGATGGTTAAAATCTCTCACATGAATAAATAGAGCATTGGAATCTTGTCTAGTTCTAATGCTATATTTATGTTGTTTTAATCTTAGTTCGAGATTTTTACCAGTTTGACCGTAATAAACTTTATTGCAAATTTTACAAGGAATCTTATAGACACATCTGTCAGCATTTTTGGGGGAATTCTTTATCAAAAGATTTTTTACTGTATCAAGATTTTTAAATACAACTTTGAAATTAAAAGTCTTAAGAAGAGAAGGCATATCAACCAAGTTTTCATGGTGAGGGAGAACCAACATATTTTTAGTTGAATAAGGCTGGTTGTTCCTTTTTGGATTGTAAAAAGTATTTCTAGCAATTTTAAAAGATTTTCCAATTACGTTTCTTGGGTATTTCAAATCTTTAGCTATTTCATAAATTTTGGATATTTCCTCATCTATGGACTCCGGACTACAAATACGTAAAGCTCTCAAAAACATTGATGAGAAAACAGACAGTTTAACTGTATCTTGATGTGAAGAATAATAGTGTACATAGGAACAGTTATTTGTAGGTTTCTGTAAATTTTAAATTTGAATTCATTATTACCCTTAATAATTAAAACATCTAGGAAAGGCAATGAGTTATTTTCTTCAAACTCAACAGTAAAGTTTATAGAATGGGCTAGGCTATTTAATTGCCAAGGAAATGGTGTATATCTACATTTTTGGGCATAAGACACAAAATATCCTCAACACATCTGAATCATTTAGCTCTATTAGGGAGGATTGTGTTAAGCAACCTTGTTTCAAAAAATTCCATGTATAGGTTGCTAAGAACAGGTGAAAGAGGATTTCCCATTGCCATATCAAACTTCTGAGTGTAAAACTTATCATTAAATACAAGTTTTGCATTAACAATGCAAAGTTTTTTTTTCGTCTCTCGACCTGCGGGGAGAGAGGACGCTTCTACAGTTTCTCTTGCACGCCACCTGGTGAGGAAAACATAGCATTAGCACCAAGATGGCGGACCGAATGAACCGGCGCATAAATACTGTCTGCATTGAGCTGGTTAGAAGATCTTTAAGCAGCACCACGATGAACGTTCTCCTGCCAAGCATTATCAGGGACGTTTATGGCATCCCCAATGAAGAGTTGTATGGTGTGGCACTGAATGGTATGTCAAGGGTCTTCGTGAAGTTCATGAGGACCGACTTCTACTCTACCATAGTCAATGAATTTCAAGAAAGGAGGATGAGTATCAATTCAGCAGTGGAAGTATGCTTGCATGATGTGTCTAAGTATTTTACTTGGGTGAAGGTACGGAATGTACCTTTTGAAGCAACAGCATACAGCCTACAAGATGTGTTCAGTGGTTATGGGACTGTACACTCGGCGAGCATGGGAATGTGGAGGGACGGCCCCTACGAGGGGCTGCTGGAGAGATCCTTCACACTGAAAATGACCCTGAGGAGGCCGATACCATCATATGCCACATTGCATAGCCATAGAATTCAGGTTTTTGTACATTATGCGGGGCAGAGGAAGACATGCCGTTTATGACTCTTATGAGCACATGGCGGCACAATGCCCCAGGAGACAGGGCCCTGGGGGTCAAGAGAAAGCTTCTGAAGACACGCAGTTAGAAGCCTTGGGCGTTGTGACGGGTGGAGTGGAAAGCCGGGGTAAGGGCCTATGGAGTGAGGAGGTCGAAAGAGCAGAGGTGGGTTTGGAGACGTGTGTTACACTACCAGTGGAAACGGGGGGGAGGGGGGAGGGGGGGAGGGAATATCACTGTCAGACAGACCGTTAGGTACTACAGATTCAGCTCAAGAAGGGATGTTGGAGGCTGTGCTGAAAGATTTTTTGGAAGAGTCGGAGCATGGTGTGGAAGGTGACATGAGGTTAGGTGATATCAAGGTGATGGACGAACAGAAATGGGGCAAGGAAGACTTGAGTGAGGTTCGAATGGAGAGGAATGTGGTGGTGGAGGTCCATCAAGATGTGGTTGTAGAAGATATGTGTGTAGAGGGTAGCTCCCGCAAGAGATCAGCGGGGGCATCAGACATGGACGAGGTCCTCACACCAGCGCAGCGGCCTGGGAAGAAGATTTGGGCAGCTGTGGTGGAAACGGCGAGACCGGGAGGAGGGGGAGGGGAATGGGAAGATCGGCGGGAAGGGACAGGGAGGGGTTGGAGGGCAGGAACGAGGGATTGATAGAGATGGACCGAGACCTATGAAAG